GGGCTCTTGAAGATGAAGCAGGGAGGGTAAGTCAGGGCCAAATAGAGAAGGATCTTGAATGACGAGAGCTTGGGCATTTCTCCTGAGTGCCTCGGGGAGCCATTGAGGAGCTCCCAGATCTGTATCTAGGAAGTTCCCCTGTCTGTGGGTGGATAAGCAACTGGGTTGGGGAGGGGGCACACAGTGGAAGGTGAAATGCAGCCGTGCAACTGGTGGCTGGGAGGGAGGATCCCAGGCAGGGCTGAGCGTCCCTGTCATCTTGACCAGTGCATTCCACTCCCTGGACATAGACACAAACCAAGGCCACTGAAGAGAGAAGGGAAAGGGCCTCACAGGACTGGGACAGGGAAGGGGTGGTCGGTCATAGAAGGACAGGAGCTTAGAGTGGGGAGAGGCCAAGAGTGGAAGACACTGAATTTGAAGAGCCAAATGAATGAGCTTTGGCTAGGGTGGTTTCTCCCTAAGAGTATAAGGACCTTTTCCTTGAGGCCCACAGCCACAGAGCCCCAGACTCTAGAGGGAGGGGCCTTTTGAGACCCCCTTTACCTGAGGTCCTGAAAGAGGCAGTGACTTACCCAAGGTCACATGGAGACCAGGGGCATTGACCAGCTTGGACCCTTATTAGAACTTCCTAGATGCAGATCTGGGAGTTCACGTGGGTATCCCATCCACAACCCAGGCCCCAAACGAGCAGGATGTGGGGCATCCACATCTACAGATGGGGAGGTGAGTTCCTCTGGAGGCACAACACCAGGTGTCAGTAGGTGCCCCTGAGAGCTGCCTACCCCATCCCCAGCCTTCCCAGAGAGAGACACAAGCCCCGGGAGACAGCCAGGTGGCCTGTGTCATCATGATGCCTGACAGCAGCTCCCCTCTCCTCTATACAAGTGACATCCCTTTCTCCCATGGCCACATTTAACCAGGGATAAGCCTGTCCCTTCACCATGCTGCTTGCTGCCAAGTGAAGAATGTAAAATCCTAAGAGCCACAAAAGAAAAGCAACTTTGATCTCATGCTCTGTGGGCCACATGTCATGCTGACCGTTTCATGCTTTGTCTCATGCTCTCCTCAGAGACGCCTTCTTCTGCAGAGGGGAGAGGATGAGACTCAAAGAGTTAAAGCCATTCTCAAATGTAATGTGCTGCTCTGAGGTTGGGAGGAGGACAAAAGATCTTGCCTAGGCTCTGACTTCTGATTAGCCATCACAATCAAGTAAGGAGCACAATTTGCTCCTTAATCATTGAGGCCAGAGGTTCTGCAGACCCCAAATTAACATGGCAGACTTTAGCCCATCACAGGGCAGCCTTCAGACCCCAAACTCTCACATGGCTTCCTGAAGACCCCTAGTCTATCACAGAACTCATCAAACAGGAGACACTTAAGGTTTTGGTCCCAACTTTATGCAGGTGGCCTCATCCTTTCTTTCCCACCACCCTGGTTCTGCGATTAGCACAAACTCTCTTTGATCCCAGGGCAGTGTTGGTTGTGAGCAGGCAGGGGCAGAGGGAGCAGGTGTGCAGAGCACTGGAGAACACAGGCACTTATCTAGATAGTCCTTCCAGATTCCCTCTTTCCCCAGATAGTCCTCTGCAGCCATTCCCCAGTGGGTCCCAGTGCCCAGAACCAAGTCTGTATGTCTTACACAGAGCCTCCTCTTTCTGCAGCCCAACTCTCATCACTCCTAGGCCCCTTCCTGCTGGCCTCTCTCATGCTGAGATTCATGGTACAGAACCTATTCTGCTCTTCTAACCTGCCTTGCTCTATTTACCTCTGGGTCCTTGCACAGGTAGCTATCTCAGCCCAGACCTCTCTTCTCCACTTTCCTCCTTTACCTGCTAACATATCTCAAGTCTTAATCTGCAGTGACTCTTGGAAGCCTTTCTTGTCCTGGGATAGGTGTGCCTAATGCCCGTGCTCACCCGTCACGCATACTTCTCATTTGCTAATAGATAGATATTTGCTAATTGCCCATCTGTCCAGTAAGCTCCTTAAGGGCCAGGACCCTGCTCGTCTGCCCCCACCATAGCCCCAACAGCTCATATAGTGCTTGCATTAGTGTTCATGTGCTGGATGCATGGATACTGCACTCTGAGAACCTAGAGATTATTGACAGACATGTGAGTACTCAATGATAATCCACCCAGTAAGAGAAGTAGAGTCAAGGTTCAGAAGTAGGAGAAGAGAGAAGGGAGAGTGATGAAGTCACAACCAGGAAGAAGCTCAGGGAGATAAGCACTAAATGGAATTTTCCAGAGTGAGAAAGAAATGCTTTTCCATGAGCAAAGGCAGGGACCTCTAGGAGAGGCATTTGTAGTAGGGCATGCCCTCCGGGGGCGGGGGTGGGGGGGGAGGGTGGTGGTACAGGGAAGATGGGGAGGGAGTTGAGCCATGAGCAGTTTGCTATCAGTTCAGACAGACTGCAGAGGGTGTGCTGGACTGCAGTAGGGCTGAAGAGGGTAGAAGAGGTCAATTATCAAAGGCCATGTGCCACACGGAGAGTTTCACCTCCATCCCTCAGGAGATGGTCTCTGTGCAGAGTCAGATTGGTGGATGTTCTTGAGGAAAACTGATTTGAGGAAACATGTCCAGAAAGAGAAAGATAAACCCAAATGCCTTCAAGATTGTCCAAGGAAGAGATGAGGACTGTCTAGACCAAGGGCTGGGAGATGAAGGGAAGGCAGGGCTGTTGATGTCTCAGGGAGGAATAACAGTGTGGAGAAGGGGCTGATGAGTGCAGAGACATGGTCAGTTTCCTGACTTGGATGATGACAGCATGGTTAATAAGGTCTTTCTGGAGAAAGAGGGAACTGGAACTGCTCAGGGTTGAAGACACAGCATATGAGATCAGTTCAGAATGTGTTAATAAGGAGGCCAATAGTTGGATGGATGGATGTGAGCACAGCTTAGGAAGAAAATGCCACTTTAGTAAAAAGAGAGAGAAAGAAAGAAAAGAAGGAAGAGAGAGAAAACACATACACATAAATATAAAGCAAAAAATACCCAATCAGACAAATGGAGAGAAATGAGCAGTTTTGCAAAGGAGTCCCTAATTCAGCACAAAGAGTCTTCATATAGTTCCCCCTTAGTTTAATCACACCTGCTATGATACGATTCAATTTACATTGAATTGAGATTATTGGGAATGGGGCCACCACACTGTGCCTGACCTGACGTTGGCAAGTGTCTATGTATGCCAGTGTTTTTGTGGCTCTGGGCAAAGGGTGTCTTGCCTTTTCCCTTCCCTATCTCTGATGAAATAATTGTTTCATTTGTTGGCTGCATTTCTGTCCTAGTAGCTAAAATCTTTTCTCGGTCAGTACTGAGACTTAACGCAGGTCCACTGGGAGAAGAGTGGGTGGCAGCCATTCACACTGTAGAATGAATGACCAGAGAGCAAAGTTTTATAGGGGTGAAGAAAGTTATGAAGGCCCTGGGCTTGTGCAAGGGTGATGGAGTGAAGCACAAGCAGGTCATTCTGAGGAAACTGTGAAACTGAGGGAGGGGGTGTTGAAGAAAAGCCTTCAGAGAGGTGTGACCCATTGGAGCGGACACCCTACTTCACCTTTCTCCCCTCTGATTCAGCACATACCCCACCCTGCCTTGCTTTAGCTTCTGCATCTTCCTTCTATAAAATGACCATTTACTATTGAGTCTCAGGGTCAACCCACAGGGCTGGAGCTCCTCTGTGAAGTTGTGGTAAAGCAAATGAAATCTTCCTGGCAGTGTAAAGACCATTCAGGAACTGAACGGGTGTAGGTGCTGCAGGCAGGGCTGGGGAGGCCTCCAAACGTTACTTGACAGAACAGCCAAAATCAAATTCTCACTGAATTCAGTAACAACAACAATGATAGGAACACTTCGCTGAGCACTCACTGTGTGCTGGGTCCTACACCTTATGGACCTTACCACCCTCAGCCCACTGAACAACTCTGTAAGGTCATGATCCCCACTTTACCAAGGTAAGAAAGGGAATTGATGTCTGGAGAGGCTACTCGTCCATTCAGAGTGTTAGAGTCAGGCTAGGCACCCATAGCACAGTGGTTACTGCGCCAGCCACATACACTGAGACTGGCGGGTTCCAACCCAGCCCAGGCCTGCTAAACAACAACGATAACTACAACGAAAAATTATAGCTGGACATTGTGGTGGGGTGCCTGTAGTCCCAGCTACTTGGGAGGCTGAGGCAAGAGAATTGCTTAAGCCCAAGAGTATGAGGTTGCTGTGAGCTGTGACGCCACAGCACTCTACCTAGGAGGACATAGTGAGACTCTGTCTCAAAACAAACAAACAAACAAACAAACAAACATAAAGAGTATCAGAGTCAGATGCAAGCCCATCCCCACCCTACTCCAAAACTACTGGGGCTTTGAATTGCCACCAGCTCATTTAGTCTCAAGTCTCGCTGGTGCCAAAATCTTGCTGGCTGAGGCCAGAGCAGGGAACAGGCTATGGGGTCCAGAACTAGTGGCTCAACAGCAATTGGCCACCAGTGCTCAGGGCCCCTGGAGCACCACAGCTCCAAGATGGCTCCTTGCTCTGAGTTTCCACTTCTTGAGAGACATGAATGCACCAGTAAACACCTGTAGCTGGAGCTGGGCAGCCAGGGTGAGAAAATGATCAGACCTACACAAAAGAGAAGGGACAGAGAATATGTGGACAGACCTCCAAACCGTGAGGGAGGCTGCCAAGACTGGGACTCTCCGATCTGCTCTCATGTTCTCAGGTTTTGAAAAATAAGCCTATAAAGTAGAAACAGCAAAGAACATGGGATTTGGAATTTGGGATTTGAAAGCCAACTGTGGAGCCCAGGCAGAACACAGACTGACTCCTCTGACCGAGGGGAAGTCATACACGCACTCTGGGGCCTGTATACTCCTTTGTAAAAGAAGCCCAACAACAGCACCTGCCTCCTGGGGCTATTGTGAGGCTCTGTGGACTGTCCCCTTGGCCTTCACTGTGTTGCCGATTGCCTGGGCTGTGGGGGGTCTCTGGGTCAGGGACTGCACCCTCCGCTCATCTCCCTCAACACTTCTTACTTCTCTTGCAGATTTACTTTGTTCCAAAATGGCAACTTCCTTTTATGAGGCTCTCTTCATTGTTGGTCTCTGTGCTCCCATCTACTGTGTGCCCTCCATCACTGTCTCCAGAGGAGAATGCCTCCACCCTTCCTCCACAAAGAACAACCCCGCCTCCCAAGTGTCTTCCCACAACACCGACTTCGCCTTCCGCCTGTACAGGAGGCTGATTTCCGAGGCCCCGAGTCAGAATGTCTTCTTTTCCCCCATGAGTGTCTCCACTTCCCTGGCCATGCTTTCCCTTGGGGCCCGCTCAGCCACCAAGACCCAGATCCTCCTGAGCCTGGGCTTCAACCTCACCCACACTCCAGAGCCTGCCATCCACCAGGCTTTCCGGCATCTGGTCCACTTGTTCACTGTCCCCAGCAAAGCCCTGGGCGTGCAGATGGGCAATGTCCTCTTCATCAAGAAGGAACTGCAGCTGCAGGCAAACTTCTTGGACAACGTGAAGAGGCTGTATGAGGCTGAAGTCTTCCCTACAGACTTCTCCAACCCATCCAAGGCCCAGGCGAGGATCAACAGCTATGTGAAAAAGGAGACCAAAGGGAAAGTCAAGAACTTAGTCCAAAACCTTGACCCTCTGACAGCCATGGTGCTGGTGAACCACATTTTCTTTAAAGGTACAGATCCGAAAGGTTGATTTTGATCTGTTTAGTTTTGTTTGCTTAGTCGAATGATGCAAGCTAGACAAACCCTAGACAGCAGGGTGGAGCAATGGGAATGCCCAAGTTCTAATTAGCTTTAAAACTGGCTGTCTTCCTGACCTTGAGGGTCCCTGTTTATCATTTACAGTGAGGGTTCATTCAGCTCTGTCTTTGATAGACTGATTTGCTGTCCCAAGAAGCTGACATTGGACTCTGCAATCTGGAAAAATCTGGAAACTAGCTTGTCAGAAAGAATTTTATCTCTTGCCACTAGCGGCTGCCTCACTCTCCTCTGAAGGTTTTAGAGGAGGGACACAGATCTCTGGCAGACAGCCTAGAAGCAAATCTACCCACCCATCCACCCCCCACCCACCCATTCACCAAGCTATCCCTTCATAGATCCCCCCATCCTGTAAAGAATAAAGAGAAGGGGAAAAAACTGATCTACTTTGAGCTCTTCCTAAGTTACCTTCACTTGTCTGTGCTGTTCTATTTAACTTAATTCTATTTTAATTGAAATCGAGTTGGAAATGGAGACAGGCCAGTGTAACTGTCATTCAAAACTGCCTAGAGTTTTCACTGTGCTGTAGTAGCATGCACATCAGCTTGGAAGTGGGACAGTGGGGGTTTGAATTGCACCTCTCCCTCTTAATTGCTCCATGATCCCCAGCACATTGCCTAAAAGACCTCCCCTGTATCAAGTGCCTGATCTGTGCCAGTCTCTGTGCTGACCAGGTGGCTGGGTGACAAAGTCATCTTCATAGGGCTGTGCTCAGGCTGGCAGCACCTGGAGTTATTTTGGAAGCCACCATATCATCCCCCACGCCCCTTCCTTCCTTCCCTCCTCCATCGATCTGTCCACTCATCTATCCATGTTCACCCATCCACCTGCCCAACCACCCTCCAAACACCCATTCACCAAGCTATCCACCCATTTATCCGTCCATGCTGCAAAGAAGGAAAAGAAGGCAGAAAAGCTGATATGCTTTGAGCTCTTACTAAATTACCTTCAATTGTATGTGCTGTTCTGTTTGACTTAATTCTATTTTCATTGAAATATAACTCCCATACTTAAAATTCACCATTGTGAAGTATATAATTCCATGGTTTTTGTTTTTAGTATATTCACAAGGTTGTGCAAATACTCCTTCTGTGTAATTCTAGAGCATTTTCATCACCTCAAAAAGAAGCCCCCGTACTCATTACCAGTTGCTCCCTATCCCTTTTGGCTGTCTTTACATCACTACTTGCACTGTGACATAAAGACCTCTGTTCTTTCTTTGTCCTAGCCAAATGGGAGAAACCCTTTCACCCTGTGGATACAAAGAAAAGCTTTCCATTCCTCCTGGGCAAGGGAACCACTGTGCCCGTCCCCATGATGCGCCAGATGGAGCAGTTTTCTTTCGGAGTGGATCCAGAGCTGGACTGCTTTGTGCTACAGATGAACTACAGGGGAGATAACATGGCCTTCTTTGTCCTTCCTGGCAAGGGCAAGATGAGGCAGCTGGAACAAGCCTTATCAGCCCAGAGACTGAGAAAGTGGAGACACTCACTCCAGAAGAGGTGGGCATCTGTGTCAATTTGTTGGGACCTCATACAGGGGATGGTGTACATCCTAGGATGGGGGGCAGAAGATTGCTAACAGCTGCTGAATATTCACTCCTGCAAATTGAGCACTGACTGCATACACAATAGTGAACCTGGTGCAGGGTATACCTATTCAAACTTGAACTTCACTGTCACCTGATGGATGTGGGGTCCTATCCCATACATTTCACAGATAAGGAAGTAGAGGCTCTAAGATGCTAGCCCAAGGTCATGTAGCTATTATGTCCCTGCAGAGCTGTACTGTCACAGTAGCTCTTAGGTGCTACCAGAGCTTACTCTAGAAACCAATTTAATATTGAATTCTGTGGAATGAGCCCACAAAAGCAAATAAATTTTTTAAAAAGCATTAATGCTCACCTATAAAAAGAAGATAGTAAAATTACCAAATTCATAGGTTATTGAAAAGATAAAGTAAGTTGCTTGCTATTTATAAAGTGCTTAGAAGAATGCCTAGGAGATAGGAGGTGCTCAATAAATGCTAGCTAATCGTAACATTATTAGGCTGGGCACCTGTGGCTCAAGCGGCTAAGGTGCCAACCACATACACCTGAGCTGGTGGGTTCAAATCCAGCCCAGGCCTGCCAAACAACAGTGATGGCTGCAACCAAAAAATAGCCAGGTGTTGTGGTGGGTGCCTGTAGTCCCAGCTACTTGGGAAGTGGAGGCAAGAGAATTGCTTGAGCCCAGGAGTTGGGGGTTGCTGTGAGCCAAGATGCCACAGCACTCTACCCAGAGCAACAGCTTGAGGCTCTGTCTCAAAAAAAAAAAAGTAACATTATTAGAGGTTTTGCCATTATTATGGAGTGTATCAAGAGAATATGGAGAATATAAAAAAGGATTGACCATAAAATGAAAAGGAATGTCAAAGATTTATGTTCAGTCTCTTAGCAACATCTTCTTGGCATCACTGGCAATGTTTCCAGGTGCTCATAGACTAGGAGGAGTGAAGAGACAAGATTGAGGATGAATGTCATTCCAGAAAGACAAAAGTCAATGCACCTGAGGGTGGGGGAGGCAAAGAGCAGGGGACCTTCTGAGCAGAGACAGATTGCTTTCAGCTGGGATTGGGGGACAGCTTCAAGGAGGTGCTGGTGTTTAGTCACACAGATGAATAGGACACAAACACACAGATGCTTGGGAAGGGCAGTTTTGGCAGAGGAAGCAGCACTGGCAAAGATGCACTGAAGGATCAGGGGATGCGGCAGGAGGCTTTGGAGGTGTCTTCTCAGACTGCACCACTGCTGAGTAGAGGAACAGGAGGCAGCCGGGAGGCTGGGACAGGGAGGGGCAGGGCACAGAACAGCAGCTAGAGCAGAGAGAAGATGGAGAGGCCAAGGTAAGCACAGGGGACAGTAACAGGAAGGAAACAGCTGCCCATGGTATCCAGCATCACAAGATGCCCAACGGATGAGGGCTGAAAAGTGTTCCTCCAACATTTTCCTGCTTTCATTTCTCTAAGTTACTAAGTACGTGACCTTGGGCAAAGCCCTAAAACCAGGTTTTACCATGGTTAAAATGGAGGAAATATTACTGAATATGCCTGGGACAACACCCAGCATGTAGTAAATGTTCAGTAAACGCAGGCTGGTTACCCTTGTTTTAGGGAAACCTGTTGCAGGGGAAGGAAATATGCCAAGCTCTAGCATTGAGCTGTCTAGTCTAGTAGCCACTAACCACATGTAGTTATTTAAATTTGAATGAACTCAAATGTAGCAAAATTTTAAAAAGTAGTTTCCTTATTTGCACCAGCTACATTCCATGTTGCTCAAGAGCCACATGTGACCAATGCCTATCATGTTGAACAGCACAAGTGTAGAATCTTCCCAACAATAGAACATTCCCAACATCAAGGAAAGTTCTACTGGACTTAGCTACTGTAGAGGGTGACCAAGATTTGCTTTAACAAGGTCTGATGGAGAGGCACGGTGGGCCGGGCGGCAGCTGAGCTGGGGCTGGTGGAGAGGCACAGTGGGCGGGGCGGCGGCTGAGCCGGGGCTGGTGGAGAGGCACGGTGGGCGGGGCGGCGGCTGAGCCAGGGTTGGTGGAGAGGCA